TCTCTTCCCGACCGTAGGGATTGGATCCCCAATTCTGCCCCGACGGCTGCATTACTTGGTGCGCCTGGAGCATCCTAGGATGATTTTCGCTGTCTTCATCTGCGCCGCCTCGAGTTCTTTCACAACCTCCTTATTTCCTTCCCATACTTCTCCGGCGTACTCTAGCGGCGGTACGATTACGCTCTTAAAAAACCGTCAATTTGATGCGTGTATCGAGGTGCCGGTTTGCGAGTATTGGGTGCAGCTTCCCTGCTCATGCTTTGCCCTTTTCCGGTACCTTGGACATGTGTGCATTCCACGAGCAGTCTTTTGCGATCTCTACTCCGAGGTATGTGTACTGGTCCACTACTGCAATCTCCTCGATCCCCCACTTCCATCTATGTTCTACTGGTTCCTCCTTGTTCTCGTTGCATACCATGACGGCACTCTTCTGAACGTTGGCAGACAATCTCCACTTATCAGTAAACTTCTTCGCCGCGTCAATTTGCAGTTGCAGTCCCTCAGGGGTGTCCGACATACCGACAAAATCATCCGCAAACAGCATTCCTGAAACCGACGTTTCCGTGTCCCCTACTTCTACGCCCTTCCGGACTGCCTCTACGACTTCCCACAGATCGTTGAGGAACACCTGGAACAATGTTGGGGACAGCGTGCAACCTTGTGGGACCCCCTGCTCAATGTCGAAGAATTTTGACAGTTCTCCGTCTAGCATGACCGCGCTTTTCGTACACTCTGTCATCTTCTTCAACACTTTCCACATTTTCCCCTTGATCCCGTATTTGGACAGTTGTTTCACAGCCCATTTTTCCATACGGTGTCGTATGTATGCCTTTTTCACGTCCAGGAAGAAGCAGTACGTCGGCTTTCCCGCCCTCTTTCTACCTTGGATGATTCTCCCTACCGTGAACACGTGGTCTACGCACCCCCTCTTCTTGCGGAAACCTGCCTGGCCCTCACTAATGCTATGTTCCTTCTCCAATACTCCCACTATCCTATCGTTCAGCAGCTTACAGAACACTTTTCCTACTGTGTTCAACAGTGTGATCCCCCTGTAGTTTCCTGGGTCAGTCTCGTCTCCTTCCTCAAACAAGTTCACAACCAGTCCTTCCCTCCATCTACTTGGCGTATACTTGTTTTTCCACACCTAATTGTACAGCAGTACCATCAGCTGGATCATCCCCTTCCCCCCAAACTTCATGAACTCGTTGACTATCCCATCCGCTCCTGCTGCTTTGTGGCACTTCAGCTTGTTCACA